CTGTATTTTTAACTGCAACAATGAAAACTGATGAACTTATTATCGAATTCGCCATAAATCTTATCCCTGTGTTTAATGAGTTATCCGTGAGAATGCAGAGAAAGCAACGACTTGAAGCTATGAGGCTTTGGCCATGCATCATTCCTTCTAAAGTAGATAGGAGTAGAAATGAATTAGACCTAGTGATAGCCATATTCTAAGAATCAAAACACCAATCATGTGATTCCCCCTAAAGAAAGCTGGGCTTTTCATATTTCCCCATTACAATAGCAGGAAGGTACAATGCAGCATACCAAACTGTTAGGTTATCTTTTTGACAGTTGGATCCTTATCCGGCATACCGTTTGGGTAATTCTTGGTTATCTTTGTTAACCTAATCGACCTCATCTTCGATCACCGCGTCGATGTTGATACTTCTGAAATTACCAAGATCTGAAACCTTCGAGTGATAGGCAATTTCTGGTTCATTTTGAACTTCTAAAAACTGGACATTATGTAATAATAATAAACCAAATGCCTATCATATCGACGCCAACAGCTTTCATTTATATGAGAATCGATGACCAAATGATGAGGCATCCATGCGTGGGTTTGAATTCTACGGAGGTTGATGAACTTTGCACAATTTCAGCAAATAAATTCGATAGAGACTAAAATGATTTGACTTTGGAAGGACTAATCTTAAGGAGTCTATAGATGCTGAAGGTTATCAGTTCAGCAGTTGTTCATTAAAAGTTAACCAGTACAGAAACTCCATCTGGCTCTCGAATGACCAAGTGAAAGCTGAAGTAGCGCTATCAATCGACAGCGTCGGGAGAGCTTTTCTGTGGCTACGGTCAATATCAGTGGGGAACTGAAGGAAAGCATCGATCACCAATTAAATAGCGATACAGATTACATTTAATGTCAACAACGGGATTAAACATAATATCCAACAGAACAGAACGAAGGGTGAAATGCGGGTACAAAGAATGCAGTTAGTTCACAATGCCCTCAAGCGGAACTCTTTTGAATAACATCCGGAAGCTTTCAAAAAAGTAATTTAAAGATAGCTTGAAATACTACACACTGTTCATCTGAACCACCAATTTGTAACTGAATAAAGAATTATTGCTCACATGCGGATCCAACAGGTGTGCACCTGAACCAGAACCCGAGAGTCCTCTGTGACAAAGTATTATGGACCGGTTCTCGTAGCTCGGATGGACTGAATTGAAGTTCTCTGTTGCTTATGATATTTGAGGCAATGAAGACATTTGTAGGCGATTTGTTTTATCATCAAGTGAGGACAGATATGGTGGAATGGACGTGTCTCGACTGTGTATATTCATTTTTCATTTGACTCATCGATTTCCTTTCATTCTAACAGAACCCAGGTTATGCCGGTCGACAGGAATTGCCCGAGAATTTGAAAATTAACTTCCGTTCTGTCGCCATGATGGTTCCGGATCGACAAATTATTATCCGGGTCAAACTGGCCGCTTGCGGTTTTGTGCAAAATATTATCTTGGCGCGTAAATTCTACGTGCTATATAAGTTGTGCGAAGAACAGCTGACCAAACAGGTTTGTTTGATTGATTACTTGATTTCTCTTTTTGAACGTTTTTTTCATCCGGTTCGATCTATTTGCTCTGATCACAAAGCACTCGTGAATTAGTACCGCGAATAATTTAGAAGTGTTGTGAGATACTACTTACATTTATGAGCAGTATGCAAAATAATGTAGTTGTCGGTTTCCTTTAACAATCAAAAATTAACAAAACCACTGAGGGAGACTTGCTGTACCCCCAAAAAAATAACTACTGACTGCTTCATTCACTACCCAGTGTGCTACCGGGAATGGTGATGACATGTTTTAAATACCTGTTGTACTTGTATGTATGCCAAATTATTGATATCTCCACTGTAATCTGTAATAAGTAACTCTCCTCGATAGGGCACCGCGTTGTGCAAACATGGCAAAAATATATTGGGCAAATAAATCTGCGGTCTGCTGATTCAGTTTCACACATGTACAAAGGAGTGGAAAGTATATTAACAATTCAACAACAATCACAGTCGGGTGTACAAGTCACCTTTATGTTCGGCACTCTATACAGTCCATCTTTGCAGAACGACAGAAACCGATCAGAGGAGTTGACACGTTTATTTTCCGCAGTTAGCGCATTGATCTAAGCCTTTTTAATCATCACGTGTTTCACTAATTTAATGATTATAATGGAATAGAATAAAATACCGCCTATTTGCATAGTAGTTGCTTACTTATTTTGGTTACTGATCCAATAGTTTTGAACGTCCAGTGCAAGTGGAATGCGGAATTGTATTGAATACCGAAATGACACATTTATCGTAAGTATGATTAAGACCAGGAAAGTTAAAATAGTCTATCATACATAAAAATAAGAAAACAATGCATATGAAACCAACTAATCTGACGAGCAATTTACCAGATCGTCTGCCTCTCATTCATATGTTTAAATTCCGATATTATTTCATGAATTAGATCGGTGCGGAGAAAACGAAGCGGAAATTAAAATGGGTAGAAAGCGCTCTCTACTAAGTAATCGAAACGAATCTTTTACTACGCACATGCATCACCTGGGATACCTTGGATCAGTCACAACTCAATCGTGATTACTTGTGAGTAGTAGAACGGAATGCGCNAAGTTTGCTTAAGCTGTTTGTCACACCGTCCCGGAGACAGAGAAGGATACACAACTCGTATACTGAGTGCACCGATGACAATATGCGCCAGTGGTGAGCTTCCATGCGTGACAAAGTCAAATCTGGTGCCTCCCGCACGTATGCTGAATAACGTTGAGATCTGAGTTCTATTCATTCAACAGCAAAATTCACATTAGTTGTGCATTGAATTATTCCAGTTAACATATTTTTAACATAATCAAATACGCGGCTACTGAAAATTCACATCTTATTCGGATTGTGACCTCCAAGGTCACATAATGAGAAAGAATGAAACCAAATGAATCCCTTAAATAGACTGGGTAAGTTTCATCACATTTAAAATTTCACTTCACGTACTAAAGAAACTTAATGGATGAAGAAAATTTCGCCACATTACTCAATCGTCTTGGTCATATATTTGCCAAAGTTCTGTCAGTAGTGTTGATTGGTTGATATTATAACTGACCATCCTTCAGATTTCACTTCCGTGCACATTCAGTCGGTCAAACATTTACTCGGAAGCATTACACTTGAGTTTTGTTCTTTTGAAAGCTCATCAGTAGTGCATACCCACCGTTCCGTTCGGGATTTGAAATCCGGACCCATCTCATGGAATGTGTGTTACTGCTATACCAATCAATTCACGCCAGGGCCGAATCGAATTGTCAATGCATGTTTTATTCAGATGCAGTCTTCAGAGAGAGAGAGAGAGAGAGAGTCAGTCAGTTCAATTTGGCCCGGCAGCAACAAAGAGACACACTGTTGACTATCTGTTCACTCCACTCGAAAGCCTCCTACCATTAGTCAGAGTTACAATGTCAGAACACTGACCAGTGCGATCACACGTACTTGTGAAGTTTGTGAAATCAGTTATTCACATTCGATGAGATTGTTGCCGTTCACTTTACCCCTACCTGCTAATGATTTGTTTGGGTTGTTCCATCGGAACATTCATACAGGTTCACTACGATTTCGGATTGCGTAATATATTATCTGTGCTGCGTACACTGGGCGCTGCACGGCGTGCCAATCCAAATGACCCGGAGGAAAGGTCGGTGATGCGTTGTTTACGAGACATGAACCTGAGCAAATTGGTGGATAAAGATGAACCGCTTTTCATGTCCCTGATCAACGATCTATTCCCCGGAATTATCCTGGACAAAGTCAGCTATCCGGAATTGCAAGCGGCCATACGGAATCAAGTGACTGCAATGAATCTCATCAATCATCCGGCGTGGAATTTGAAAGTGATTCAGGTCAGTACCGGTGGTTTTAGTTCCTATGTTTGGACCGCCTTTTGAATCAAGGAATGGGACAACAAGTACAACGCTGAAAACCGTATCCAGGTGAAGACAGACATTCAGATTAATTAGGGTTGTGGAGAAGTAAATGAATGCATTGGTGACTCTGTGTCTCCGATCGTCGGTTACGCTGATCCCGAGGTCTCCAACCAGAAAGCCTAACGTAACTTACATGCCCCAGCGCCCTGTGCATTCGTGTCCCTCAGTCCAATGCAACTTAAACAAATGATGATTAGTCTTTTGGCGTTCTGGTTATTTGCCTGATGAGGATGGTGTTTTACTGGTCGGTTGATAAAGACCAGCTGAACAATGAGTAACTCTTCAGAAACAAACAACTGGAAAGCAATCGAACCAACTCACAACAACTTCTAGGGCAATATTTTGCATTAGCACAGAACACAGTAGAAAGGAAGGTAACAGCCTCCTGTTTTTAATCCCATAAAGTAACTATTAAGTCCGTCCTCTGGTTTACTATCGTCGGACACGCTAGGACGCCGTGAAAGCTACCTCGGAATGTTTTTATTCGTGGTCATGAAAAATAGCTATATCCATCGATTGCTAAGGTGGTCCATCGATCGATCGATCGGTCGATCAAACTAAGAGGTCGTGACAGCCACTTGCCTGGCCAGTACTCACAGAACATCTGTTTAGTGTAAACGAGTAGCTGAATGCTTGCAGTTTCCGTTGAAATCCTTATCAAGAAATTATCGAAATGAGAATTTTAACAGAATATACAAATGCAGTTTCTAACAATGAGTTCTGGTGTAACTCACTCAGTCTAGTTTACTAGTTGCGCTGTTCATCAGGACCGTCTTTATTCATTCTTACTTCAGAGCATGATTAAACTTTTATGCCAACTACTCCCGGAAAGTTGGCCACATCTAGACACTAAGGACAGCAAACTCAAATATGACAAATCTTGTAAAGTTCCATATCCGACTGGGTGTCCAACTGGATGGCATCTTTGTAAACAATCCGGAAATCATTTCCTACGGAAAAGTGGGCTCCTATAAGCAACTGAGACCGTTGCTCCAATTTTTACATCCGAACATTTACGGTAAATATTTTTATCACCAAATGAATTGTTTCGCCTCTAGAAAACTCAAGGAAAAATTGCTCCCCTGCCAACTCAATCAGACTTGGAGACAGTTTCTTCTACAGATTTCGCTCCCTTTTCCAATGCTGATAACCCTTCCAGTTGTGAGCATGTTAGATGTTACCTTAAAGTCTGCTATGGCTTGTGCTGCCTAGTTGAAACTTTATTCATTCGAACCGACTGATTCCCTTTGCTTCTTCTAAAACAGCTACGCTATAATAAAGAAAAGGCCTACAGGACTGGAAGGTGCAGTGCTGTCACACATCTATTATTTTCAATCAAAATGTGGATACAGCATCTAAATCGGTTATATATTGTAACTCTTGTGGGAAACAAGAACCGTTTTGATATATGTCCTACCTTGAAGCAGTTCTGTAGTTCGTGCAATTGTTCTTTCCTGGATGATGAGGAGCTAAATTGTCAATTCGCGGATGATTCTGTGCTAAACTCAATACTACATTCATTTTCATCTACTGGGGAGAACCAATCTGTTACCCCGGTAAAAGTTTCTAAGGTGCTGATGTTTCTTAATCCCAACAAGGCACATAGCCCGGAATCATTATCCTCTGTCCTGTTGAATGTGTTTGCCAAACAACTTCCTTCACCTATTTCCGAATTGTTCAGTTTGGGCATGTCATTTGGAAACAAATTTCCCTTCTTGCTGGGGTGCTGCCTGGATAACACCAATCCCCCCAGTGGGAATCTTCCAAATAACATCACAACTACTGAAAGCTTTCGGAAGAGCACTTCTAAACAGGATGACCCTTCTATCTGTTGCTTAAAATACTATTTAGTTTGCTTACAAACCATCACTTTCCACTCTTGATGCAATTGCCCACGTTGTTTACTCCCTTTCATTGGATAACTTGGCTGGCATCGTCTGTTGCACTTTCCTTGACTATGTCAATGCTTTCGAATCATTTGACGGAGGTATTGTCATCAAATGTCTTTCGGATTGCGGTCTGGCACCTGATGTGTTGATTGTACTAATCAATTAATTCTCACCTAGGATGCAGTTCACTTTTTTGTAACAGCTCTTCCTCCATGGTAGAAGTTAACTCTGGGTTTTTTTCAAGGTACTATTTTGCGTCCATTTCTTTTTTCGCTGTACGTTAACAATCTTTTCATCCCTCCCAACTTTGTGGTGTGGTTGTCCTTTGACTCATCCCGACAGTTTCTGCCAACTTCGAGCTTGTCTAAGCTCAACTTTTTGTTGGTTCATGACCCGATCCTTGATGCTCAATGTCGACAAATGTGTAGATGTTCATTTTAGCTTTGAGACTAACACTCATTATCAAAGTCTTTCTAGTAACCATCCTGAATTTGCTGTTAAGGGTAACATCATCCCCAAAGCTGACTCGGTTAACTATCGCTGAGTTGATTTATCACATAATCTTTCTTGGTTCAAGCATGTTGAAAACATTTACATTACAGTTCGTAAATTATCCTTTCACGCTTTCAGACTTGAAAGGTTCGGTGTTACCCGTAGTGTAATTCTTAAATTTGTGACCACCTTCTTTTTTCCGCACCGGTTATACTGTTCCCCAGTATTTTTCCCAGTCTGTGGGAGAAAGATTGTATTCTCTTTTCCAGATCTCGTAAAATTCTTTCCCGTTGTTATAGCTTTCCCGAGACCGTTTTCGTTGATTTCATTTTGAGCAAGTGTTTTCATTATTGTGATCAACATTTGGTGTATAAGTTTTTGTGCCAGGGCCGGGACTCAAACTGCGAGTTTTCAGGTTGAAAGTTAAAACCCCGATCCCCACTCATCCGCTTGAGTGAATGACTACATCTATTTGGTATGTTTTATTTATTTTTTTTGGGGGGGGGGAGGGACTAGCTCAGGTGGCCACCAGCACCAGTGTCTGGGGCGTAGATCGTATGCATATACACGGATGTTATCGTTACCCACATTCTGCTATGTCACTCAGTGTCAATACAAACTTTAGTTCCGTCTGGTCTGGTGATCTTCAGTCCTATAGATCCTACACTTTTCCCCATATTTCATCATTATTTGACCACCACAGGCCTTGATTCAGTGATCACTGGCCTCAACAAACATTTTACACTATGAAATTCGTGACAATTACTTTAGTCGCCATAACCGAGATGCATTTGTGTTATTGCGCCATTGCCATTATTACATACTCTTCACCTAACCACACATAACTGATTCCGTTTTCTACGCTCCACCAGCAACGATCATATCCCTGCATTGCATGGCAGAACGGGCCAAACTGCTGCAATATACACTGTAGTCTCCTATAGTCCCCCACGTAGCAGTCGGAAATTGCGACGGAGACCAACCGACAAATACCAAAACAGTCTTCTCTGAATGTGCCAATATTACATCCGATACACCGCGTGCTCCTGTATCTCAGTGCCTCCAATTCACAAGTAGAACTGGTCACGGGATTCATGCATACTGTCGGTTCATCATGCATGCGTGTCCGGATTTTTCCTCACATCTGTCGTGTTCATGCTTCTGAACAGAATTCAGTCAAACACAGAAAGAGAACATGATAGAAGAGAAGACCTATAAAAATTGAGTTTACCAGTTTCTCATCTTTTACCGCGGTGAATTGCTGAATACCACCCGGTGAAAATTGGAAATTGTTGAGCAGATGAAAATCCAACAATACTCAGCAGTTGAACCGGGCGTTGTCCTCCATTTTATTGCGCAACACGTTGTAAACCATAAGTGTGGTGAATCGTGGGGCCATAAAAATTTCTTTTCGAGAGCGTTGCTCCACCGGTGACTTGTTGGCTCTCGTCTCATAATCCTGGTCAGCTGCACTTAATTACCATGGAGAAATGCGTTTGGTCTCGCTTGGCATATCAAAGGCTTTCGAACGAGTTTGACACTAAGGGGTCTACTGGCGAAACTACCCATGTTCGGGTTCCCTTTGGCGCTCGTAGCTCGAACCGTCTCTGTCCGAATTGCAACCTTAGATCACTTTCAACTATCCTTTCTTCTTCTATTCTTCATCCAAATGAGCAGCTAAAAGACAGCAACCAAAACCGGCGCACGAATATGCGTGGTTAATGGTTGTGCAAACTGAAACTGAAACTGTCGGAATTGATAGGGTTCTATCTCAGCCGTTCCTCGTGAATACTGTTGTTCTTCAAGGTTCAGTACCTGCACCCTCCCTCTTTCTTCTATTCACCAATGATCTCCTTTCCAAAGCTGTCAACCCGAGCCATTCTTTTGCCGATAACGCCACCCTCCACTGCTTCCTCTTCTACCGCATTACTTTTCATGCCCAAAAAAACATCGATGGTGAACGTAATGCAGTAAATGTGTCACTGGACTGCGATCTGAAACACGTCTCCTCCAAGGGTATGTCAACCATGTTTTATTCAATGCTTCAGAAACCTCACTCCTATCAATTTCTCTAAAACGCCACTTATTTTCCCCCAATAATCTTTTGATTACACCCAACTGCGTTTCACAGACTCTGTTTCCCTTCTTCAATTGCCTATAACTTCTTCTTTATTCTGGACCCCCTTGGTAGCTCAGCTTGCTTCTCGTGCAAGTTTTTTTCATTACGCGTCAGATGCTTCTCCCTAGCTAATCTTCTACTGTACAAAGCTCAAATCCGCTCGGCTCTTGAATACTGTAGTCACATGTGGGGTGAAGGTTTTGGCTTCTTCCCTTTTCTCTACTTAATCACGTTCAACAAAAGATCATCCGGCTAATTGACCACTCTTCCCTAACCTGGAATCTACAGTCACTACCCCATCGTCCGGGAATTTACCGTTCTACTATAACTCGCATTATATGTAGTAAAAAAATAAAAATAAATAAATCGGATGTGCACACCAAATAACAAGATGTATATAATAACCCTTTGATTGGTTAACAATAAAGCTTTGCATCACAAAAAGGACAAAGGTCTCAACGAACCGAAACTATTGATTCGAGGTTTCATGTGATGTTTTTTACACGGTATTCAAAATCCCGAGTCAGGAAATTCCGAGATTGTAGTATAATCCACTCGACTAACACGTCAATACATCTAAATCTTACACGTTTTATATTATTTCTAATTATGCATAAAGAATAAGAAAGCAACTTGTGAAACTCGCAATGTGTGCACATGCTCAGGGGTATTGTCAATACACATTTGCTCATCTCCTCCCGCAGCTTTTTGAAACTCAGCGCGTGCGACACGGTATGATGACTCTCGGTCCATCCGGTGCTGGGAAGACGTGCTGTATCAATGTGCTCATGCGATCCATGGGTGAGTGTGGAGCACCGCATCGGGAAATGCGTATGAATCCAAAAGCCATCACAGCCCCGGAAATGTTTGGCAAATTGGATGTGGCCACAAACGATTGGACCGATGGGATCTTTTCCACCCTGTGGCGTCGTTCACTGAAAACCAAAAAAGGTGAAAATGTGTGGATTGTTCTCGACGGACCGGTTGATGCGATTTGGATTGAGAATTTGAATTCCGTCCTGGATGACAATAAAACTCTGACCTTGGCCAACGGGGATCGGATCCCGATGGCACCGAATTGTAAAATTGTGTTCGAGGTGCACAATATTGATAATGCCTCACCGGCCACGGTCTCTCGGAACGGTATGGTTTTCATGTCCAGTTCCGTGCTCGACTGGGATCCAATTACACGAGTAGGTTATTCAAACTCTGTTCACTGTTTTGTTTAAATTTGTCCCCGAAATTCATGTGGGACTGAAAAGTGTTTGATCTGAATAACTAACTAATTTTCCGATAGAACAAAACAGTTATTGGGTGAGAGTTTTTTCCCCTCTACACAAGTACAAAAGATCTCACGTGTGTTGTCGTTCACATTTTTTCTCGTACGATCACAGTTGAGATCCTTTTTCTTAGGTCTAAGTGGTGACAGAAAACGAGCGATCGAGCGATCGAGTGCTTGTTCCCTCGTGAGAGAAGACCGTGTCTCTGATTTGATTCTTTTGAATGCTGCATGAGTTGTTGGTCCAGTGACCGTCCAATCAGGTTACATCTAACCAATTCCGTGGCGCACCCGCTCGTTGACTGTCAGGTTCTCGGGCTTCAACTGGTTGTTCTGACAGATTATCTCTTCTCAGTGGATACAACTCCCTGTCATTTAATATCCAAAAGGTTGTCATACGTTTTTCTAACTTATATATTTTGTAATTGTTTGGCAACTGGCATAGGCTAAATACCTCTATGGTCTATAACATCAAAATTTAACCTGTTACTAGCTTTTTTCTATCATCTACCAAAAAGAACTAGAAATTATTTGAAGATCTCACCTATGCAACATGGTGATCATGGACAAGGTCAATCCGGTGCCTTATGTTCAAGAGAGTGAGAGGCCTGAGTTTAGCAGGTAACGCGAAAAACTGAATACTTATACACCAAAATGGTTTAAAATGATGAACACAAAAATACCATAAAAATGACGCGTTGGGTATCACTCGAATGTTCTGCTGCAGAATTTTAAATTCATTTATCGACACAATTTATCAGTACACCGCAAATCATAACAATATTTTTCTCTTTGTAAAAGTGAACAGATATGATAGAAGACAAATATCGCGAAAAGGAAGCCTTTTTATTTGATCTCATCGATCATATATGTGCAATATTGGACCAAAAATGTCAGCCGAATGAGTGACAGTCACGGTTTAGTCGCTGATGAGCAATTAGCTCAAGACAGGATAGTTCGAGTGCGGTGAGAAGAGTCTTTGAACGCACAGGATTGGGTCAAGCTGGGCGAACGATAAGGTCTGTACATATCCGTAAGCAACACGGATCACGAACATGGAACCTGACAGAGAACGCTGCGGTTGTCCACGCTTCCAATCAAGCGGCGATCGATCGTTGATGTTAGTCCACGGGTCACATCCAAGCTCAGTCGGTTCCGTTCAGTCACCCTCGTTAGCGTCTACGTCATGTGTTTAATCGTTTCCTTGCCCAACAACGGGCCGTTTCTACCGATGCATGATCCCAACAAACCAAACAAGAGAACCGTATTAAAAGATGCCACTCAACTGTCCATCAACTGTAGTCCAAACAATGATTCGTTCATACATTGATTCAGCATGTATGCTACCGAATAAATTCAACAATCTGGTTGAATATACCTAATGATCGGCTCACAATTGTGATAATCAATAACCTGAGAATGGGAATCACTCACCAAGCTCTGAAAACAATCGATTTCACACACTGGATTTTATTTTCAATGATGTATTGACGAATATATTCTACCGTCTCTAGCAGTGGTACATTTGTGAACAAGGATTCGACATCACGGGAGAGCGTGGTCTTATGCAACACATCTTCATTTTTGATACGATCGACGAATGCGAAAGAATCTTTTACGCTATATTTGGCTGGCGATTTTTGCACAGGCTCTAGAGGTTTTACAACCCTATGTGCTATGGCGTGGTAGGCAGAATTGCTCATGTCAATCACTGGTCTTAGTGGAACATTTGGCTTGTGAATTTTCGGCAATCCATAGAGTCTCGTTGTTTGAGATCCACATGAACTGAATTTGTCAAATGTAGCCTTAAGTTGCTTTAAGTTGAAACCCTAAACTGCTTCAATATCTCCGTATTTTTGTGTTCATCATTTTAAACCATTTTGGTGTATAAGTATTCAGTTTTTCGCGTTACCTGCTAAACTCAGGCCTCTCACTCTCTTGAACATAAGGCACCGGATTGACCTTGTCCATGATCACCATGTTGCATAGGTGAGATCTTCAAATAATTTCTAGTTCTTTTTGGTAGATGATAGAAAAAAGCTAGTAACAGGTTAAATTTTGATGTTGTAGACCATAGAGGTATTTAGCCTATGCCAGTTGCCAAACAATTACAAAATATATAAGTTAGAAAAACGTATGACAACCTTTTGGATATTAAGTGACAGGGAGTTGTATCCACTGAGAAGAGATAATCTGTCAGAACAACCAGTTGAAGCCCGAGAACCTGACAGTCAACGAGCGGGTGCGCCACGGAATTGGTTAGATGTAACCTGATTCTCACACTGTCCTTACTTCCACTGTCAACACCAATCAAGTATGATAACCCGTCAGTCTTCATCGCAGTGCTTTCCTCCCTTCCGTCCTCTCTCCCTCTCCACCTGTCCGACTTCTCCTGTCCGTCGCCCACACCGGTACACCATCAAAAGGCATGGCTGCTTGGTCGTCCGGCCGCCGATCGGGGAGTTTTACACGCCCTGTTTGACAGTTCATTCCCGCAAACATATCGCTATGTAGTGCAGAATTTGAATGTGAAAATGGACTATCATGAGGCATTCTTTGTGCACCAGGCGTTGTCCATACTCACCGGTCTCTTGCCCAGTGATATGCAAGTACGTGTCAACGTAGTTTTGTTCGTCCAAATGCGCATGCGTTCGACTTATTTTTTCGTTCAGTGAAAAGTTTCAGATAGGAGACCTCATTTTCATCGTTTTATTGAAGCTTCACTCGGAGATTTCAGATCTGAGTCATATTTCTGTCTCACGCTTGCTTCGGCCTTTTGGCCGGAGGAGTATGGAGAGATCTTGTAGTGATGAACCAGTTTTTTTAAACAGTCAGTTTGTGTGTGTGTGTGTTCGTCATACAGGGTCAATGTGACACTCATTGTATCGAAAGCGCTGCTGTGATTTAGTCCGGATAATCCAATTGGTTAGTGTGTGTCCGATCAGCAACCCGTCGTCCCTCGGATTCAGTTGACATGCAAAGCATTGATGAACTAACACTGGATGAATCAGTTGTACAGTAATGCTGCCAATGGGTTCCTATGATTCGTGATATGTGTCCTGTTGTTTTCGTTGCGTCCTTTCTCTTTCCTAAAAGATACACTATCATAGTATGATAAGAGCACAGTTGATATATGTTTATAAAATAGCTGTCGATTCATACACAGTGCGTGATTCACTGCTTGCTTTCACCCGCATCTAATGACTAGTGTATGTTAGTTCTATTTTTAATTATTTTTGTTTTCATATACCCATATATATATATATATACATATATCCGTATAGGGGAACGAGAAGATATTGGCTCGGTGTTACGTGTTTGCTATCATGTGGTCTTTTGGTGCACTGTTGGAATTGGACGATCGAAGCAAACTGGAAGCATTCTGGCGCCGGGAACTCAAACTAGATTTGCCCACTGATTACGAGCGAAAAACGGACACTGTTTTTGAGTATCGGGTAGATAACGAAGGTAGGTTCGCGATCTCTCGTTCTTCATAAGTTTATTCATAGCGTTCACTCTAATTTTGGGCCGTTACAATTGTGCCGAATTTCAGAAGAACAGGTTTCCATGATATAGGACATTTTCCTGAGTTTAGAATAAACTTCTCTTAAGATACCACAACATATCCTCATTGATGCACAAGAACAAAATGGAAACGCGAAGAAATTTCCTTTCGATATCTTGCTTCAGGCATTTGCATAGATAGTTCAATTAGTCAGTAGAGTGGTAGAGTAGTAGAGTGAACCAAGCGGCGATCCCATTGCTACACTATCCTTCTGTCGATAATACTTTGATTGTATAAAAACTTGTATAAAACAAGTACATTCTTTAAGTTTGTTTACGAAAATTTCGATCTGGATTTTATTTTCAATGATGTATTGACGAATATATTCTACCGTCTCTAGCAGTGGTACATTTGTGAACAAGGATTTGACATCATGGGAGAGCGTGGTCTTATGCAACACATCTTCATTTTTGATACGATCAACGAATGCGAAAGAATCTTTTACGCTATATTTGGCTGGCGATTTTTGCACAGGCTCTAGAGGTTTTACAACCCTATGTGCTATGGCGTGGTAGGCAGAATTGCTCATGTCAATCACTGGTCTTAGTGGAACATTTGGCTTGTGAATTTTCGGCAATCCATAGAGTCTCGTTGTTTGAGATCCACATGAACTGAATTTGTCAAATGTAGCCTTAAGTTGCTTTAAGTTGAAACCCTAAATTGCTTCAATATCTCCGTAAGATTCCTGTGTTTTATCCCTCTCTTTGGCATCGTGATTGAATTTGCTGTCATCGGCAAGTATAGCCCTCAATTTATCATCGTATTCGGATCGGTCCAACACTATCCATACTGCACCTTAAATTTGGTGACTGAACGTACATCGGATAACTCATTCGTACATACAGCTTCCACTGATCGCACAATATCCTCACATCAAGGTGCATGCGTTTAAATACTCATACATGCACCCACTCAAACTTGTACGCGCATGACACTGACGCTAATTCCACCGGACTTGGATTATTTTGACCAACTACACATCGCATCACGTGAGTGCTATCTGGTTGGTTCACCGTTCACCGATGACCAAAATGGACAGGGGTTAGCTGAGAGCGCGTTTGATGTATGCTTTTCCCTCGGTAATGGCTCTTTCCCAGTGGTTTATTTATTTCAACAATTTGCATTCGATGCTAATTATGATTCCATTGTATAAACACCTTGAAATTTGCATAGTAAGAAAACTGAAAGTGTAAATTAAAAATGTGGATGATGAATACAAATTCTCTTGGTTTTTCTCTTTAGTAGAGATCAATTTTAAACCAAGTAAATAGCCATTTTTTCAATGCCTCTAAGGTGAAACAGTATTAAATGAAAATTATGTTAATAATCGGTCGGTTGTTTCTTAAGAATAAACGTTTTCTCAAATTGCCCATTCGGTGTTATGTGCTCCATCAAATGACGTTTTATGCCCAGTATTTTCTGCTCATTAAATAACCTGGGCCATTCAAACCGATTCACTCATACTTGGAACGCGGCTATTTGTTTGTCAGGTCGATGGGTGCATTGGAATAAATACATTGAAGAATACATTTATCCAAAAGATCACACACCGGAATTCGCCAGTATCTTGGTCCCAAATGTGGATAATGTGAGAACCGATTATCTCATTGATCTGGTCGCGAAACAGGGCAAAGCCGTGCTGTTGATCGGGGAACCGGGAACCGCGAAGACTGTGATGATCAACAAATATATGGGACGTTTCAATCCGGAAACGCATGCGTCCAAATCGTTTAACTTTTCCTCGGCTACCACACCGGCCTTGTTCCAGGTAATGCAAAAAATTCGTTTTGCCAAGTGAAACAGTTCAAGTGCATATTTTGTTTTCGAACAACTCATTGTCCGGACAATACCATAAAAGGAAATCATCTAGTTGGGGGGGGGGGGGGGGGGGGGGATTGACNGGGAGGGGTGATTGACCGCATGACGATTACATACATAGTGTTATGGTAATCCGTTTGAAGGCTCACTGTTCTGTTTGATGTAGTCCTTATGCCTTCGAACTCAATTCTGGTGTAGAGCCGTTTGATGGTAATTGTCGATAGAGTGCTTAAGCTGATCGTTTTGAGCCTTATCACTTCAGTCATGATCCGCGTACAATCACCACATTAGTCTTGCTCGGTCTGAGAGCATTTATTGCGATTCTTTGAAAGTGTAACTGTGGTCAGTTGTATTGGAGATTTCGTTGTGGACAGAAGAATGAATTGAAATTGAGTGAACTTAAATACTAGGAAACACCACACAGCACTTATATATATATATATATGTATACCTGATGAGCGGCAACAACCGCGAAACCCGCAACAATGTAGCAATTAGTCATTGATGAATCAAAACAAACAGTGACCGATGGGCACCACATGATGTGATAATCACAAGAAACCAACCAGCATATCCAGCTGGGGTATTCTGCAATTTAAGTTTGGTTTCGAGACCACCCAATGGATTCGGTGTCTATGCATAGCTGAGCACTGCTTTCTCGATCCTTTGCTGATGTTTGGTGTCTTAAATCTTTTTCATAAATGTAATCGAAAAATAAAATGTAAAATTAAATAATCGTGAATGGCAATCTTTGTTGGCTAAATCAAACTTCTACTTACTTACTACTCACAATAAATCATCGAATGCCATAATTTGAGTTTGACCCAAGTTCCATGGTGATCAATTTGACATTCCATAATTGATATAATTCTATCTGAAACTTATTTAGGCCAAGGTATCGTCTCTATACACATTAAGTCTTTCCCAAGGAAATTTAAAAAAGATAATCATTTTTTCGGTTCTCAAGGTTTTTACGAATTGGGAACGGTGAATTAGACCTGTAATTTCGTAAACTAATTGGCAAATTCCGATGCTGCATTT